TTTGCACACAGAAGGCGGTCGGTTCGAAACCGACTGGATCCACCAGTATTTAGATAATATAATTAGTCATGAATTTGCAAAAAAAAAAAAAAAACAATAATTTTAATAATTAGTTTACTAATCATTGCTTCTTTATTAGTTGGTGGAGGATTTCTAATTATTAAAATATCAAAAACTAAAAATGCTGCTAATAATCAGCCAACCAAGAAAGAAAAGAAGCCAACTCTGCCAAAAGATAATCCCCCGCCCAAGCCTAATACTTCACCTACTCCCAATCCACCGCAGCCAAACCCAATTCCGAAGCCTAATAATCCCCCACAACCGAATAATGATGAATACCCAGCAATTACCGCTACTGGGCGAGAACCAGAATATAGAATTAACAATATAGAATTAACCCATCATTACCAGTTTCTTCGGCCGGGACTGGGAGCGATAGACCAGAATTAGTTCCTAATTTTAATAGCACGCCAGGTCACCTTACCGCCGGCTCAGCCTTACTTACTGATACTTTGGATGGTTCGGGTAATGGTTCCTCAATTCTGAATGATAAGGGAATTACTCACCTTATCCACGCTGTTAATCAACCATTTAGTTCTTTTGCCAATAACGAGCAATGATTTATTAATTATGTAGTGCGTTCAGTGCAAAATTCAATTATTTTAGCGGACCGCTACCAGTTTGAAAAACTGGCTATTCCCTTGGTTGGTGGGGGGATTTTTCTTGGTAATTGTGACCCGCAAAAATTAGCCGAGGGAATAGTGAGGGGAGTGGTTAATCAGTTGGAAAAATGTCAAAACTTAAAGAGAATTAGTTTAATTGATTGGGATGGCAATCCCAATAGTTACCTTTTGAAAGCATTTGAAAGTGAATTCATGGATAAGGATGAACTTTTTGCCGGTGCTGTAGCACGTGATAATAATGCTTTTGGAAAGTTAAAAAGTAATCCGGAAAAACTTTTAGGTTATAATAAAGGAGACATTTGCAATAAAAGCATTCATGGAGCCAGTGTAATTGTCAACGCAGCCAATACCCAAGTCAAATTTGGTGGCGGGATTTCCGGAGCCGTTGCCGAGCAAGTGGGGGATAAAAAGAAAATAGAAGCCAAAGCCCAAGAATTAATTGATAAGTTTAATTCTCAAATAGGACAAAAATAAAAAAAATATAAAGCAAAGGAGCCAACGAGTTCAAAAAAATTAATCATATGACAAAACAATATTTTTATGGAGAAATACCCTGGAATGTACTTAGCCACCTTCAAGAAGATTTAGAAGAATCTGATTTACCTTTTAAGGTGGAAGTGATGGCTTGGGAGTGAATGAGTCCAGAGTTTCAAAAATTAATTAAGTCAGATTTAATACCATTAGAATAAAAATAAAAAGGAAGTGTGCCCGAGCGGTTGAAGGGGCTGGCTTGGAAAGCTAGTAATATCTAATCCATATTCGGAGGTTCGAATCCTCTCACTTCCGCCATAAAATTATGAATAATCAAAATTTTTTCTCTTTTCGTCTTTATCACCCTTCCGATTACCCCTCTTATTACCCTTACAATCCTGGTTCCTATACCGAAAATGGTCAAAAATATTTACTTTTTTGTTTAGGAGGCAGCGAAAGTTTTAATTTTAAGGGAAATAGTATTAAAAACCATTTTTTTCTTTTTCCTGACAAACCAATTACTAGGTTAATTATTCCGGAAAATAATTTTAGTTTAGTTAACCAGTTAAAAAACATAAAAAGTGGCGAAGACATTTTTACTACTGCGGCTAATAACTTACAATTCAAACCGAATTTTATAAATTCTGCTCAGGGGATGATTGATGATGACCCTGATTATTACCACCATGGTTTATTGATTAAAGATACTAGCCAAATAGAAAAAAATACTGGAACAAAGCCCGAAGCAAATAAGTTTTCTTTTAAAGTATTAGGCAGCAAAGTTAGAGAAATAGAAGGATATAAGCCTGAAAATAAGACTCTTGAGTTAGAGATTGCGACATTAGATTTAGGAATAGAGGGAATGCCACTAATTACCCGAATTTTTTTTAACTTTTTAACTCCTGACTCCACTACGGTGGGAACAATGCTAAGTAGGCAAAAATACGAAAAAATTTTTTCTGAATGCCAAGGCAAAGAATTTATATTATAGCATTTTTCAAAATTAATGTCAGTTTTGATTAATTAATTATTTGTCTTTATCCTTAGTAAACTCATCCACA